TGGCCTGAGGATGCAGCAGAGACAGCATGATGGCAGGTGTGGCAGATGGAATAGTGCCCTCTGCCTTACAAATGTCCCAGTCCTAGTCCCCAGGACSGGTGAATAAGTTCCTTTACAGAAGGGACTCCGCAGATGCGATTAGGTGAAAGCTCTCGAGGTGGGGGGATTATCCTGGCTTATCCAGTGGCCTCAGCATGATCACAGAGGTCCTTATAAGTGAAAGAATGAGGCAGGGGAGTCAACATTGGACCAATTAGGCTTGAGTAAGGCGCAAGTGGCCACTTCTGGCTTTGGAAAGGGAAGGAGCTATCAGTCAAGGAAAACGAGGCGCCTCTCAAAGACGGAAAAATCAAGAAAACGGATCGTCTCCTAGAGCCTGCAGAAGGAACCACCCAGCCCACATCCTGACTTGAGCTCAGCAAGACCCAATGCAGATTTCTAAACTATAGAACTAGCAGGTAACAAAGCTGCGTTATTTCACATCCCCAGGGGTGGGGTCCTTGGCCCCAGGAAACCCATGCAAGAGAGCCAGACGGAAATGGGTGATGTGGAGAAGCACTGGTGCCAATACCCTCTTTGAGCCCTGAAAAACAAGAGCTGGGGGATAGGCAATCTCTACAACCCTTCCCAGTTCTGATGGAAGATGGGGAGAAGTCACTGTCCCGTAAGAGTTGACAGAAAACAGCATATTCCAGAACATGTCTGGTGGGACTTAAGTACTCAGGGCTGTTGAGGAGAGTTAGAAAAGGGAGCAAATCATTGTTTGCCTGATAATGCAGTGTTGGCCTCTGGCACCCAGAGTCCATGGGAACTGACCAATTTTTCCTTTCCGAGGAAAGGAAACCTGGTGTTGAGAAAGAGCAGGTCTCCTAAGAGTGGTCAAGCCTGGCCTCCTGGTGCCAGATCTGACCTGGGACTGGGTGATGAGATGCACCTTGCCCTCAGGGAGCTCAGGTCTCGGGACTTAGAACAATTGCTGTGGTCTCCATGCATCTTTCCAAAGTTCATGTGCTAGGAACTGAATTCCTGAACCCATATGCTAAAAGCATTTGGGAGGTAACTGCCATTAATGAGGTCATGAGGAAGGGGCCCTATGATGGCATTAGTGGCCTTAAAAGAAGAGAGAGACTTGAGTTAGCAGCTTGCTCTGTCTCATGCCCACAGCCGTGTTATGAGGCAGCCAGAAGACCCTCACCAGGGACCTTAGGCTTCCATGCCCTTGGACTTCCAGTGTCAGATCATGAGCTACACAAACCTATAGTCTGTATAAATTACCCAGTCTGTGAGATTCAGTTGTAGTAATGGCCAATGGACTAGGAGAACTGGTAAATAAACAGCCTAATCTCTGTTGGTCTTAGTGCTGGGGAGGAAAGGAAACCTGGTGTGGAGAAAGAGCAGGTCTCCGAAGGGTGGTCAAGCCTGGCCTCCCGTTGCCAGATCTGACCTGGGACTGGGTGATGAGATGCACCAGACAGGAAAGAAAATGGGAAAAGGCTGAAAAAATGCTGAGTTAAACAAAGCTGAACAGAATTATATATGGAGGAATCCTGAGCGTTTGTGCGTATGAATTGATTCGTGTGCTTATTTGACACAGTGTTTTATTAAACCAGACGGTATTCTAGGGAGCTAGTGAACAAAACAGACAAGGTTCCTACAGCGTGGAACATCATTACTGTGGGAAAAGCAGGTAATACAAGAGTCAATAGCTAAATACAGGACCCGGATGCAAAAGCCCTCTGGAGGGCAGAGCACTTTGAAGGGATAGAGGTGGCAACGGTGGCTTTAACAGCTTGGTGAGACCATTCAAAGGTGTTCATATCTGGGCAGAGACTAAAGTGCAGGGTGCACCAGTGTGTGACATTTTCCAAACTGAGGTGACAACGGAACCCCCTTCGTCACAGAGATTCTTACAGAACTCTGATCGCACTTTGAGAAGTGCCGGGAAGGAGAGAGTTGAAGTGGGAAGCTGGCCTCTTCGCACCCCAACAAGACCTGGGTTCTCATTTAGGATGGAGACTGTGACGCTCACAAATGCAAAGTGAGGTTTTTTCATGCAGGAACCCACCSCTCCAAATGGACAGCAGGAAATGGGGACGCTGGGGAGTCTCTGCTCAAGTTCAGGATGGGTAGGCCACAGGGCTTGCTCTCCTTGGCTGGCCTGGACTCACCCTGAGGCTRTGGGGATCATGAAACTGAAGACTAGGTTGCACCCCGGGTTAGACGAGATGGTCTCTGAGGGCATGAGCAGAGGCTGGCTTTTTTGCAGGTCTGAGAGAGCAGAGTGTGAGGACAGGGCTCCTTCTCCTTGGACACTGTGTCATACAAAACGTTTATTTCTCAAGTGCATCCGAGACACGAGGATCAAGCTCCACGTTTCTGAGCATCTTTATCCATGTCCTTCTTTGGTCTTGGGTGAGGAAAACCAGCTACATTCAAACGCCAGGAACAAGACCGGCACCCCAATGGGGCACAGCCTGTATCCATGCAACAGAGGGTAGCTAATGCTCTCCCTCAGGAATCCACGGGGGACTTCACAGAAAACGTACCACCTGTCCCTTCAAYGTCCTTTCCTGTCTAGAGGAGGCTGTCTGGACTTTGTCACAGCTCAAATTGGATGAGGCACATTATGTATTCAAGTCCTGCCGCAGCAAGCCTTCCAGCCCGCCCTCCCGAGCACCGCCTGCCTGGCTCCGGAAACGCCTGTGTGCGAGCAGCCTGCTCAGATGCCAGGCTTGGTGTCTGCCGGAGCACCTCGCCGAGAGCCTGGCCGGGCCTCACCTGGCAGGTGGTGACGCCACTCATGTTCCACGTGGCCTAGGCTAGCAGCYGATGCAGAGACAGATGGGAACAGTCTGTTCCCAGAGCTGCCACGTTCCCAGGAGGGAAGGGTTGAAGCACCAGGTCCTCTCCTGGCCCCTCATCACTGTCTTGCCACTGGTCACAGTCATCTTCTTAGCTCCGTTCAGTACCACTTCCTCTGGGAAGCTGTCTCCYCTGGGGCAAATCCTGCCATTTGGGGTCCTGCAGGCATGTCGGGCCTCTTTGTATGGACACCTGAGATGGCTTCCAACCCCAGGTCTGCCCCCAACGAGTCCTTGAACAAATCCCGTTGCCTTTCTTGACCTCAGTTACTGAAGGATACAAGCTGAGAAGGTGCTCTTTAAGGCCCTCTGGCGGTCCCCTCCCCCAAACAAGAGCCACAGTCATGGCAGCCTAGTGCAGGTCTGGGCCTAGAAAGAAGCCTTTTTACTTGCGGGGCTTTCATTTACTTAGCACTAACATGATGGAGTGAGCTAACTGGTTTCTAAAGGCATGGGATCCATTTTTTTTTTTTTTTTAAAGCAAGTGTACAACTTGTTTGTTTGGCATTTCTGCTCTGGCCTCTCAAACACCCTCCTCCAGGGAGCTCCTTGAAGCACGGTTTTAGGACCCTTGGTTGTAAGACCAATGGTCCCTCCAAGGCTGACACTGTCAGGTTCCACTGTGCACTGGCACACACCTCACCACTGCAGCTGTGGGCCCCTGGGATTTCTTTCTGTGTGGCGCTGGGGATGGAACCCAGGGCCTCTGGAGCACACTAGGCAAGCACTCTTCCACTGAGCTACACCCCAGCCCGGGATCTTCTTTTGAGGGATGTCCAAACGATAATGAAAATTTGCCTGCTCCTCCCTATTTTTTTTAAATGTTTGATTCCCAGTGTTGCTCCAGTGGACGTAAGAAATGAGAATTCTGAGGGCCGGAAAGGAAGAGGGAGTGCTTTGACCTACTTCCAAATCCTTGCCAAGCAAAAGAACCACAGCTGAAACAAAAGGACATAAGCAACTGTCAGCCACTCTGCCTGAGCCCAGAGGAGGAGGCAGAGTCAGCCAGGGAGGCTGTCCCAGCTCTTGGAAGCCCCCCAGTTCCTCTGTCCCGTCACATGGCCCAGTCAAACTCTCGTTTCTACCCAGACAGGGCCAGGCAGCAAATCAGGGAAGCTGGCGGCTGGTTCCCAGGAGCACCAGCAGGGTCCAGGACACAGTCAAGGACCTGTGGTCTCAACTGAAGCAGCTGCCCCTCCTCCAGACCTCAGAGTGGCCGGGTCATCTCCCTCCCATCTCCGTTACCCAGGTGTGGGCGGCTGGGTGGTTTCTACAGCCAGACCTGCGCACTCCTTCTTTCTTTATTTTCTAAAACCTTCTGCATTCAGAAGCAAAACACACAGAGGGTTTGGAGGAGAAAGTGTCCCTGCTTCCCCTGTGTCACAGAGACACAAAAACACATGAAGAAACTATGGCAGAAGGCTGTGGGGACAGGCCTTTGTGGGCACCTGGCTGTAGGTTTTGATGTGGAAACCAGAGTGGCTGACTTTTCCGAACCAGAGAGAAACCTCTCATGCTCCTTGGAGCTGATTTCTATTATTATTATTATTATTATTATTATTATTATTATTATTCAGGCTCCAGAGCGTCTCTGAAGCCATCTCTTTTTATTTTACTTTTATAGTTGTAGATGGACAGCATGCCTTTATTTTATTTGTTTATTTTTATGTGGTGCTGAGGATGGACCCCAGGGCCTCACGCGTGCTAGGCAAGCGCTCTGTCACTGAGCCACAGCCGGCCCCGAAGCCATCTCAGGAGCTGGGTTTCCTTGGCTTTCCTTCCATGCTTGTGCAGCTTATAAAAATGCATTGACTCAGTAGCCACTCTGCTACTCCCAAGGCGCCCCCTCCCCAGCCCCACGGCCTGGCGACAGTTCCCCTTGTCTATCCCACGTCAAGGGCCAGCATCTCCCTCCCCCCACTCCCCGCCTCCTTGTCCTGCTCAGTCCCCTTGAATTTAACTGTCAACCCTCCAGTGACAGACACAGCAAGTTGGAAGGGGAGGGAGGCGGGTGCTATTTATAATTCGGCGGCGTTCGCCCTCAGAACACGGCCATTTATTCCAGGCCGCCTGCCAGAGGCCCGCATTCCCTTGGCTCTATATATGGRCTTCTCCACAGGCCCATGTGCCACATCCTCGCTCCAAGGGGCCTCAGGCGAATCAGGAAGGTAAGGCCAGCCCTGCTCCTCCAGAGCCCGCCCCAGCCTGGACTCCTCTGCAGGGTTCTCCCAGAGGCAGAGGAGCCAGGGACCCTGGGGGACCCACCTGACAGGGCTTGGACAGCAGCCGGCTTTCCCCCCAGGGCTCGAAGAAGAATGGCGAGGGAAAAAATGTATTCTTGCTCTAAAACATTAGATCACCCCTTCTTTTTGCCAAGTGGTTTTCAATTGTTTTCCMCTGCCATGTGACGGAGGTCCATGGCAGCCTTGCCAGCCCCTGGGGGCCCCGAAAGCTGGATTTATGGACGCCCTGTCCTTCCATAGGCAGATGGGAGGGGAAGCCAGGGAGGGTGGGCAGGCCAGCTGAGGCAAGGGAGCAGAGCTTTTGCCAAGCAGGCGCTTCCTACAGGCTCTGGGCTTTGATTAGCATGCAAGGGCACAGGGAGGAAGGTGTCTGGCCTCCCGGGGGCACTTGGATGTGAACACCCTTCACTGCCTTCTGGAAGACAAGCCCGAAGGCAGGGGAAGACCTGTACTGCCAAGTGCTCGCTCCAAGATCACCTCCTCTCCTACCTCTCTATGCAGGTGCCTGTGGGGCCAGGCTGGGACCACAGATGGGCCAGAGTCTCTGTGGAGCAGGACCCCTGGAAACCCTCCTCCCATTTCATGTGGACAATTTTAGTTTGGTTTCTGGAAAACTTCCTTCAACAGTTGTCTGCAGTGGGCACAGGTGGGTCCTGGCATGGCTGCTCAGATTTCAGACGAACCCTCTTTATTAAGGTCTCTGGTCATCTTTTCTCCTCTTTTCAAATCAAGTTCAAGTCCTTCCTCTGAAAAGCTTTCTGTGGCCATCTGGATATCTATTCCTCAGGATGGTGAGCATCTAGTGTTATGAATACTAAGAATAACAGTTTGGATAGATGCAGCGCTCACTCTGTGCCAACCGCTTAGCATACAGCACGCCACACACCCTCATAATGGGCCTGCAAGATGAGTGTTAGTTTTCAGGAGAGGAAACAGAGGTGCAGAGAGGTCAGGCCACATGGTCAAGGTCACCTGGCAGAGTCAGGAGCAGGTCCCAAGTGCATCCAGCTTCTCATGACCAACCTCTCTGTTGCAGGTGCTGATTCCTGTCATTCACATCTATGGTCTTTGTTAGATGTGTGCAGTCACTGTATCTTCTTGAGTGCTGGCCTCCTGTCTGTCCAGAGGGCCCTTGAGCTCTTGCAGGTGGAGACCATGTCTTAAATGTCTTGCCTCTTCCTTCTCTCCCCCCTGAGCATCGAGAACCAACTAGATCCATAAAAAATCTTCCCCGTGGCGGTGGTCCTCTGTCCCTGTGCGCTTTCTACCTGTCATGGCTCGTCACTGACGCCTGCCTCTAGCCTTCGCAGCCTGGGACCCTCCCTGAGCAGCCACAGTCCCACATCAGCCCTACAGTTTCTCCTTTGCTTATGATAGATATGGGGCTGGCACTTTATAGCAGGGAAAGCAGCAGCAGCAGCAGGAGCTGATCAATTCCTAAGCAACGAAGATCCTGTTTTCATGCAAACGTCCTCAGCATTAAAACAAAAACAAATTCCTCACAGGGCGCGTCCTGGATGCCAAGTCTCTTCACAAGACACATTTTTAAAGCAAAGTTTTGCGCCTGCGCGAGTCACAAGCAGGAACTGGAAGGGAGCTGCCTGCCAAGTGCTGTCTCCAGGTGCTCTCCTTCCAACCTCACGGGCACCGAACCGCTAGCCACAGTGGCTTCCCGATCTGACGATCTGACGGATGAGGAAACAGGCAGAGAGGACTGGGAGAGTGTGTCCAGTGTCCATCAGCTGGCAAATGGCAGCAAGGTGATCTGGCCAGGTCTGACTGGACTGTTTCTGACACAGACACTGGTGTGACTATATTCATGAGAGACCAGGGGCAGACTGGGACCATTTCAGATGACTGCAGGCAAAACCTTTTTATTTAAAAGAAGGACGGTGCATGATATCGAGTCTCTCCTTACTACATACCTAGTCCTGGGTGTGAATCTGGATGAACCACGAGAACTAACTCTATGCTGGTTAGCATATGATGCCCACAGAAAGACTCAGGAGGGACAGTCCCTGACTCCAGGGGCTCTGAACATGGTGCTGAATTCCCCGCCTCAGAGGCCAACAGCAAATAACAAGAGGGTTACGAGGTGAGGCAGGACATTTAAGGAGAATGGCAACAAGCGTCCTGAGCTCCGCAGAGGTGAGGCCACGGAGTGCTAAGTGAACTGGGAAGGCTTCCTGGAGGAGGCAGATGCTCCAATTCCACAGGAGGGTCTCTAACAGACATCCCTGGCTTGATGCCAGGGGAGCTGGAGCCCACCAACACCAGTACCACCAGGTCATCACCAGGGTCACTGGGCCTGCCTGGTGGTTATAGGAAAGAGTCCAGAGGTTATCTAGCCTCCAGTCGGCTCTGGTGGCTTTGTCTTTGAGGATCATGGGTATCCAGAGGCAGTGCACGTGGATGAATTAGATGTCACATGGTTCATGTCTGGCAAAAAGTCAGGAATGCCAGGACGGTGGCATGCTTGTGCTGTGGGATCCCCTGGTGCCACTCTCTTCTTCTGATTCCTCATCCCAGACTCAAGGTCCGAGTGCAGTTCAAACTTCCTTCCCGGGGTCTCTGAACGCTCTCTGTAGTCCCTTCCCACCCCAGGAGTGGGACCCTGCCTTCTCCACGTGTCCAGCAGTGCACTGGGCCTGGAGCTGGAGACACCAGGGACAGGACAGCTGGCTGCAGCCTCCTAGAGCAGCCTGACAAGCTCCCCAAATGCATCTCTCATGGCACCATTAGCACCCAGGCAAAAAGGCCTGGAACTGAAAAGGGGGGATTAGTGGGCAAATGTGGCAGAGGAAGAGGGCCAGAGAAGGGGATTGGTGGAGGCCAAGAGAGACAAGAATCTGCTAAGCAGAGTGGAAAGAGCGGGGCTTGGTGTGCAGACGGCCTGGGCCGGAACCCCACACTGTCAGTGTCTCGGGGACTGCGGGTACTCCCCAGGATCCATGCTCACCTCTTCCCCGCAGACTTGCAGTGGACTACATTGCCCAGCCTTCCTTCCTATGAGGCGTGGCCATATGCCTACCTCCTGGCCAGTGGAAAGAGAGCAGAAGTGTCATGGGGTAATTCCAGGCCTGGCCCATAAAAATCTCCCACTTGTGGTTCCTGCACTTACCCCACCTGGCAGCTGAATGGAGAGAAAACCCAGGACTAGAGGTAGACAGATTGCCAAGACGGAAGGGGCCGGGTCCCTGACGCACCCCGTGGAAGACTGCATGCTAAACACACACCCTGAATCGTGCAAACAAGAGACCAACTCCTCGTGTGCGGAGCCATTTATATGTGGGTTGTTACAGCTGTGGCCCCATGTGACTGATAGAGTCTCTGACTAGCCATGCCGTGTTGGACCAGTCCCTTAGCCTCCCTAGGCTCTGGCTTTCTCATTTGTAAAGTGAGAATTTTAAAAGCATTCCTGAGAATGACTGAGCTCAGACTTCAAAAGCTCCTACAACCAGGCATGGTGACTTTTGTGAGTCTTAGGTACTTCTGCCTTCGTGGGCCCCTTCCTCCAGACATATATAAATAATATGTAATTTTAATTCAATTAATTCAAAATAAATAAATGGAAGTTAGGTTTTATGACTGCACGGATACAAATAGGAACATAAAATCAGGCCGGATCCACAATTGTGTCTATTCCTCTTTAGCATTTTTACACTGCATTTTATCATCGTTATTCCTATATTCCTTTTTCTTTCTGATTTTMAAAGAAATAAAAATTAAAAATTTTCTGGGCCCCTGAAAGAATCGTGGGCCACAGGCACCGTGCTGTTGTACCTCTTGCACACGAAGAATGGTAACTATACCGATCACAGTGGAACCAAGGACAGGGGGCTGAGAGGTGAAGTAGTAACCCAGGCGAGGAAGGCTCCTTTGCCCTGTTGCATCTCCAGCTGGAGAGGTTCATGGAGATAGAGTGGCATGCTCAGAAAGGGTGGGGACATCCAACCCTCAGTGCCTTATGTCCAGCACAGGCTGGAACACTTGTCTTACTCCAGCACTCTCAACTTCCCCCGACTTACCATGAAGTAGGGAGTCTTTTTTTTATCCCCATTTTACGATTGAAAACAAAACAGAGAGAAAAGAAAGAAACGGATGCTAAGGACAAGTGGCTAAGCTGAGAACTGAAACGACRTCTGGGGTGCCCAGTCGAATGCTCACTCCACCACCTGGCCTTCCATCTATCAGGAGCTGTGTCGTAAAACTGATAAATGGCAGTGCCTATGGGGGGTGTCAGACACCCCAACACCTCCTTTCAAGAATACTGAAGAACCTGCTTACGGCTGAAATCAAACACATCATGCCAGCTTAAACTTGTGCTTTCTCATTCTCCTCCCAAATGTATTCCTTAGAAGGTCTAATTATAGTGACTTCTATTTTCTTGTAAATAATCACATCTGTCATAACTGATTTAACTGATCCAAGGCTCCAAGTTGGCAGTCTTGGCGGCCTGAGCCAATGTGTCAATTATGCCAAGAAGGCTGTGAGCAAAAGTTGCATGAAATGGGAGAGAGAGGGAAAAAAAAAATTAGTCACAGTCATATAGATGGTGGGGACCAATATGTGCTTTTTCACAACAGTAATATCAATACAAACTCTTAAACGTGGCCAAGGCATGTCAATCCCTTAGCAATCCAACTTAGAGGAATAGATGCAGCCAGCCAGTTCTCAGAGAATAAAAACAATCTTTTGAGTGGAGAGCCAAGCCCAGGAAGTCTAAGTATATACCCCTGAGAATTTGCTGTGGATCCTTATGCTTGTTTCTCAGGAAGAAGGATGGGATGAAGGGCTTCCAGGTTTCATGCCTCTGGGGCTCTTTGGGGCTACCTTCTGAGTGTAGCTGTCATGCAGCAGAGAGTACTAGTTAGGTCTGGACTTGAGTTCTAGTCTTCTCTCCCCTCCTAACTTACCAGTACTCTAGCTTGGCTAAGCAAACCAGCCTTCCGAATTTATCTCTGCTTCTTCATATATAAGCAGAGAGACAAGAGTGCCTACCTCCCAGAATCTGTGTGGGATGGAGTGGTGCGACGACTGTATGTGACAGCCTGTTGGAAAGAACAAGCTCTAGCCGTTGTCACCATTAACATATCAGCATATACCAAATCCCGTTTTCAATCCATGGAACTGGCTTCTTCCTCTGCTCAAACCACTCTAGAAAGTCAACTTGCTATTTGAGCCTGAGAATCCCCGTGTCTGATGAGAAGCCGCCAAGAGTATTTTTATTCTCTGCATAGCATAGGGAAACGAAAAGCCCAGCACCTGCAGGAAATGGACACTTGCTCTGAGTGACCCAAACCTGGCTGCTGGTGTAGCCTGCCTTGGTTCTGGCCAATCTGCATGAGCAGGGGGGCTGAGATGACCGACTCTGAGGCCAGCCTGACTGGGCTTTGAATCAGGCTCAGCTACTTATTTACGGTGGGTTCTTGGGCAAGTTATCTCATCTATAGAATGAGGGCAATGATAGTACCTACTTCTTAGGGTGATGGTAAAGAATAAATGCATTACACAGGATAGCTTACAACAGGGGCCTGGCCCAAGGGAGGCCATCAGTATGTACTGGAACTTACTACTACTGCAGTGCCGGTCGTCCTAAAGGCCAGTGGCTTCCTCCCCTCATCCAGAGTTCATCAATGCCATGCTTAACACTTTAGCCCCTCTAGAATTTTATGCACCATGCTCCTTGCTAGGCTGGAAGATGTGTGGCCAATAGAGGAGTTCTGAAATGAGAGGGCAGTGCTAAGAGCCCGTGATTGATACCTGAATCTTCCAGAGAGGCTCAGATTCACTTCCTTCAAAGGAAATTCATTTCTAGAGCAGATATGTGAGTAAAGGGTTCTGAACCAAGAGTCAGGGACCCAGTCTTTGCCCAGTGCTTTTCTGGGTCTTAATTTTCTCAGTTGTGAAATAAAAATGAGAGTTCTGGCTATGAATCTCAGCTTATTTATGTATTAAAAAAGAGATAATAAGAACAACAACTGTCACGGATTGGGATGAGGCATGAACCAATTAATGAATCACTGTGGTGTGGACCAGGTCCTGGCCACAGTCCGTGTGTGGACAGCTTCAGTGTCCCCCAGAACTCAGGGCCCATTCTGTGGCCTCCACTGGTTTCCTTTGCACCTCTCAGGCACATTCTTGCCACAGGGACTTTGTCTCTCTGCCTGGAATATTCTTTCCCCAAACAGCACCATGGGYCCCTCCCT